ATTTATTCTGAGTAAATTATCAAAATCCCTATCGTTTTTAGTTAATTGTTCATAAATAATTAAAATATATGCTCCTTATTTTTTTTCTTATACAAAAAAATAGGTCAATATATTATTTCAATTTAGTTTCTCTTCCTTCACCTCTAACAATTAGAAATGCTCTCCTGGATGCAGTAATTGAAACTATTGATATATTATATTGATAATATAATGGGATTTTAATTAAAACAATGTATACCATAAGGCAAAAGTTTTTATATAGCAAAGATGGAAAAAATGTTTTCCATTAAGGTTGGATCTGGCACTAAGTGGCACATAGATACATAGATGACTGCACATGCACACTTTATTTGATGGAAAACTTTATTTCAGATATTTTAATCTTTGTTAATACCAACAACTACCAGGGCAATTTCAGTTTTCATATGTTATCTTCTGCCATACCAAATTGTAGTTTTTAAAGCTAAGGGTTACAATATTAAGGTCAGGATGGAATTGCCTGACTGTGCCTCTCTCCTTCAGTCCTGACTATATTTTGCTATAGGATTGGCAAAAATTAAAACCAACAGGAGCACTTAGATGTTGATTATTTCTTGCTAACCAATTGATGCTTAATCAGATGGGTGCTTTGAAAAAATTGTCAGGGCTCCCCAAGCCAAATGAATCATGGCATAAGTTTGTATAATAGACTAGAATGTACTTCATTTGGCATTTTCCATAATATGGTAGAATTAGTTTACTTTTCAGTGAATCTTTCCACAGCAAAGATTCCAAGGTTCCTAGGTTCTCCCAGCTAATTTAGATCTTCACAAATTCTCAATCTGTATGTTTCTGTGAGAAATATGAAATACGTTTATGGATAGTTCCTCCCATGTGGGTCCATCACTGTAGACTTTTTCTACACTGCTTCATGTTTTCAGATTTTTCAACAACTTGATCCCAATGCGATTTTGTTAGGGCAGTAAAAAGGAAAAATAACTTACATTTTTGTAACATCATTTTCATACTAAAAAGCAGAGACAGCACCCTGCCAACAAAAGTACATATAGTCAAGGCCATGGATTTCCCCAGTTGCAATGTATGGCTATGAAAGTTGGACCATAAGCAAGGCTAAGCACAAAAGAATTGAGGCCTTTGAATTATAGTGCTGGAGAAGATTCCTGCGAGTCCCCTGGACTGCAAGGTGATCAAACCGGTCAGTCCTAGAGGAGATCAACACTGACTGCTCTTTAGAAGGCCAGATCCTGAAGTTGAAACTCAAGTACTTTGGCCACCTAATGAGAAGGAAGGACTCACTGGAGAATAGCCTAATGCTGGGAAAGATTGAGGGCAATAGAAGAATGGGACGACAGAGAATGAGGTGGCTGGATGGAGTCACTGAAGCAGTAGGCGTGAGCTTAAATGGATTCCAGAAGATGGTAGAAGACAGGAAGGCCTGGAGAAACATTGTCCATGGGGTCGCGATAGGTCGGACACGACTTCACAACTAACAACAACAAACATCATTTTAAATAAATATTTAAGTGTTGTGCATATCACTGAAAACATGTTCCTATCTACATGTAAGCAAGAGACTTGATTCTAAAAATGGAAGAAGATGGAAGATTTGCACCATAATAGCAGCTGAAGGTACACTTTGTCCAATTAACCATAAAGCAAAATAAATTGAATGCACAATTCAAGAACAGAGGGCTGATAGAAACACAATTAAGAAATTACATAGGCCCCAAATTGGATTGATTCATTATTAAAACATATATAAAAACCATTTCTATGCAAATTTCATACCTTCATAGAAAGGAGAAGCTGTTAAGAAATGCTCTTCAAAGGAAACTACTCCCTGAGTGCTTCTTTTCCCAAGCTTCAAATATACAGTATACTTGCTTACTTCTGGTCTTATGTGAATTTTAATTACTAGGAAACTCACCCTCTATATGTAACAGCCTGCAGGCAATTCCAAGTTCTTTGTACCTTTTATGAACTCATTTCTTTTATAAAGAGATTTGGGTCATGATTTTTGCTGACATTTTTTCCATGCCATGTTTCTTTAAAATCTCATGACAAGAACAATAAAATCAGTTCCCCTTTCTTTATCCTTGCACTTTATTTTCTAGCCTCCAGCTCACTGTGGTCAGTAGTGATTAACAGAAACAGAAAATGAGATCCCATTCACAGATGCAAACTGTTGGTTCTATTTTGAGTATATTTTTTCAGGCTTTAGCCAATGTCTCCATATTCCTTTTGGAAAGACTAATGTAACCCTCCAAAAAGTTTCATTTACTTCATTTTCCTACCCGTCTGCTGGAAATTCTACAAATCCCAACTTATATCACATAGGATCCCAAATATGCAGTGAATGTGTGTAATGTCATAGCATAAGACTTAGGAATGACTTGGTTACTGGTGCAACCAATCTCTCTTGTGGAGAGACTTAAGAGAACAATCCTTGTGGTCATAACCAGCATGATAGACATGGTAATCCTATCTGATGTATCATTTTATAAATGGAGAGAGTTAACTTTCTGCAGTTAAGAAAAGGAAGTAGATTGGTATAATATCAGAGCTTGTGTGAATGTGGCAGGTAGAAGGCTGAAAGGAGATAGAATAATAAAAGTAAAGAATTGGAAGGAAACTGCTGAGGCCATCAAATGTAACTTAGTGTGGAGATTTAAATCAATGCATCCATGAGAGTTGAGTACTCAACATCTCCTTAAACACATCTAGTGAAATGGAGCTCACTTTGGTAATTCATTTTCACTAACAAGTTGTTGGAGATTTTTTATTTTTTTTTTGCCATCCTGTAAATTTATGTTAATTATTCTGTGTTCTATCCTTGGGAAAGATAGAACACAGACCAATATAACAATTTTCAACTATTTGAGGAGTCTAATCAAATCAATTTTCAATCTGGCAATGTTTAGAGTAAGTTTCAAAAAGGTGGGGTGTTTTTTTTAGCACCTGGGGATGTAGCACTTGTCTACTGCTGTTTAAAGCAGCAACTTCTTTTGCTAGCATAATACAAACAATGTGGAGGCCAGCTGCTTCTAGGTATTAGCTATTGTGCTCAATCTTGAGTCATATGCAAATCTAATAAATATTGTCTCTTTCTTTTCATCCAATCATTAATATAAATGTTGAAGAAAACAGGGCACCACCTTATGCAATACTCACATTCTACTTTAACAAACAAATATTGATGAACAAATCTCACTTATTATAGTAACCAGCCCATATTTAATTAGCAGGCTAATCAGAATGTCATAGAGCAGGGCTTTTCAACCAGTGGTACGGGTACCACCTGTGTACATTGGCACCTGGCAGGTGGTACGCGACCATCCTAGAAAAGTGGTAGTGGGGAAGGGGAATGAGCTGAACCAGTGGCAGCATCGCACAAGTCTGAGCGAGAGATGGCTGGAGCTGTAGGGCTGTCAGGGCTCAGCGGAAGCGTCAGGATCGGCACTTCTTCGGGGCTGTCAGGACTCAGCAGAAGTGCCAGGATCAATGCCAGGCTCAGCACTGATCCTGGTGCTTCTGCTGAGCCCTGAAGAAGCACCAATCATCTGGAAAGCAGCACTGATCCTGGTGCTTCTGCTGAGCCCAGAAGAAGCGTCGATCAGCTGGAATGTTGCAGCATCTCCAGGGTCTTGTGATTTACATTCAGATGCTTGGCAACTGATTCATGTTTATGATGGTCACAGTGTCCCAGGGTCATGTGAAGTGACCAAAACTTGCTGCAACCACCCAGCAGACGGGGGGAATAAAAACCAAACACCCCCCACCCCACCCCCCGCTGCCAATCCTCAACAGAAATGCTCACAACAATGAAAACCTCGGACAGGAGGAAGAGCGCGGCCGGGCGGGCAGGCAGGTGTCTTGCCCGGCTGTGGCTTGGGGGGCACTTTTTTCAGTGCCATTGTAACTTCGAACAGTCACTAAGCGCACTGTTGTAAGTCGAGGACTACCTGTACTTTATCACTTTTTTCCTTTTTTGGGGGGGGTCATCAAATTTTTGACGTCTTGCTAGGCGACTGGTGGTACTCGGATGTTGCCATATCCTAAAAGTGGTACAATGGGTGAAAAGGTTGAAAAGCCCTGTCATAGAGTATATCATTAATGTTTTGCTGAAATCACAGTTTATTCTGTCCACTGTATTCTCATGCAGCACAGATGCTTCTTTGAATATACAGGTAGTCCTTGACTTTTGATAATAATTGAGTCTGGAATTATGGATGTAAGTCAAGTTGCTTGTTAAAATTGGTTGACCATGCCCAATTTTATGACCCTTTTTGCAGTAAATAACCATGATTGTTAAGTGAACAAAGAGATAGTTAAGCAAATCAATGCCTGTGATGGGTGTTTTTGCCAAACCTGGAAGTAAATACTGATTTCCAAGAAAAAAAGCACATTATAAATCCCAGTCATGTGACTGTGGGGACACTGCAAATGGTTGTAAATGTGGGCTGATTGCCAAGATCCCATAGAATCACATGACCGTGGGGGGGTGACCATTGGAACTTCATGTTCAGGTTATAAGTAGTCCTGGGGACCAGTTATAAGTTGAGGACTACCTGTAGTCTTTCATGCTGTAAAAAGAACTATCTTCGCAAGGTGAGAAGCTATTTTATATTTTTTGTTATACATTTTTAAAATTTAACTTAAAATTTTATCAAATAAATTGTAAGTTTTCGGTGCTCCATACAGAGGTTCATACCACTCAGAAAGATCCTGTGATTAGTAGTAAAACAGATATGCGAAAATACACAAAAAATAGAAAGAAAAGGGGAAAATGTAAAAATAAAAAGAGATTAGACTTTGGGATCGATCCCTGGAAATGCTAATATATTTCATGGTTGCTCTGCTATTCCAGTCACATCAGATTAATGTTAATGAAAATGGGGAAAAAATAAAAAGTGAAGCCATAAAATGTGTGCATCTCCCAGAACATTCTAAATGTACCTTCTACAATACGGGTGTCAAACTCAATTGTGTAATGTGACGTATCATGGTGTATCATGACGTTTTTTGTCTTTGTGGAGCGTGGGCGTGTCCTGTGCATGACGCATCTGGCCCACGGGCTGCCAGTTTGACACCTTTGTTCTACAACTATTTTCACGCCAGTATTTTCTTTGTCTGCTTCTGGTAATTCGTAGTTCTCCTCTGTGCTCCAAAGATGGGATGCTCTGGATTGCTACACAGTTAAACTGAGGCAGAGTCCCTTTGAAAGGCTCTTTCTGATCCCTATTTTTGTCATTCTGACTGACTCTTCTGAGCCAGAGGGGAAAAACTGGAGAAGGAAAGGAAGGCTTGACTAGGAACAGCACCAGCAGAACATCTGACTGAAGACTGCTCCTAATTAAAGAAAATAGCCCAAAGGAGGGGGACAAGACTGCCTGGAGGGAAGAGGAAGATGGTCCCTTCCATCCTTTATGAAATTGTCTCAGTTCATTAGCAAATGCCATGCCTAATTTTCCTGAATTATTATATAATGCTACCAGTTATTTCTCTCATAAATCTATATTTATCACATGAAAGTCATTTGGTGAACAGGTTAAGGCATCAGGCTAGAAAGCTGGAGACTGTGAGTTTTAATCCCATTTTAGGCACAAAGCCAACTAGGTGACCTTGGGCCAGTCACTTTCTCTCAGCTCTAGTAAGGAGTCAATGGCAAGCTACTTCTGAAAAACCTTGCCAAAAAAAACCCTGCAGGGATCTGTACAGGCAGACTCCAAGCAGGAAAAAAAAATCCATATATAAAAATGATAGTGTCACAAAATTGCATTCCCTTTACCAAAAGGATTGCTTTAATGAACAGGACAACATTTATTTACCTAACTTGTGCTCCACTGCAATCACAGTATTCTTGGCAATTCACAAATTAAGAGGCTACAACATAAAAACCTAAAAGATAAGACAATTAAAACCCAGGCAAAGTTTGTTACATCCTTTATCCATTTAAGCTTTCTGCATGAAACTTCACAAAAGCATTCAAATGTTTATTTGATTGTTTATTTAATCAAGCAACTGATCATTTTTGTTGTCTCTTGGATCCTTTGCTATTTTTGTATTTATGAATTGTGATGGATTTTATGTGCATATGTCAGTCTAAGACCATAATAAATAAAGGAAGAAAGAAAAACAGGCACCAATACATAGTGTCGTACCCCAAAAGCCATGAAGATCACAGCAAGTAAGAGGGAAACTAAGTGTTTTAATAATTTGCTCAGGACATAGAGGACCAGTAGGGAAACTGCTGAAGCAACTGTGCTCCCCAAACTAATCTTGTTTTCACTTTCCCATTTCTCACAGCTAGCTACTTCATCTACAAGTCCCATTTCACAGAAAGCAAAGCTTGCATTCTGTCAGATTTCTCTGTTATATTAGACAGAAACATTTGTAAACCGCTCTCCTTCTCTCTGTCCATCACCCACTCTCAACCTCCAAATACCCCCACTACACAGAAATTTCTCTCTTCTCCCAGGATTCGGGTTTTTCATTATAGGCAACTATGTTTTCTGTCCCCATGGTTTCATCCATTCTTTTTACTGTGTCCCATTCCCATGGATTCCTTGTTCTCCTTCCCATGGTTCCTTACATTTAATTATTATTATTATTAAACATTTTGTGCAAGATTGTCCATGACATGCATTCTTTGGTTCCCTAGAAGATCTGCACGAAGCAACACCAGAAGTGATCACCTGGATAGCTGAATTGGATATCCAGTTATGAAGCCACTGTGATACCCTCATAGAAGTTTTACTTATAATTACATGACAGGCTTCTCTTCTGTCCTGTTCTCATCATTAAATAATAATAATCCACTTCATTTCTCCTTTTCCCTTTCTCCTTTTTGGGAGGTTTACAACATACAAGCACAACTTGAAGACTGAGTTTCCCTCTCTCTGGGTAACCAATTCAAGAATTCACCCCAAATTGCAATAGATGTGGACACCACAGCACAGCAGGCAAAAGAATTATGTGCAATAGGGAGGTTCATATTAAATTAACAGCAAGCCTTTCTGCCCATCCTTAAGTCTTTCAAAAGCAATAAAGGCATGAAATCAGCTCTTCCCGTTGTGAGTCCCTGTCTTGCATTTATCCCCTCCATTCGCAGTAACTGCACTCCCCTGACTTCAGACACAGCACATAGGATGAATACGGCAGAACTTGACTGAACAACAACAGCCTTAAATCAATATTTATATGGCTTTATTGTATATTGTTTAAAACTTAATCTATAAGCACACCATTTGTCCTACAGCAAACATGACAGGGTTAGAGGAACAAAGCAAAAAGAGGGACTCTCATGACAGAGAAAAAGGAAAACCAGGTTCAGTGTATTTGTGCTGGCTTCTCTTTCATATGGAATTAATGGTGGTTTAATGGGGTATGAAAGAATGTTTTACTGGAAACAATGAGGAACAATTGTCTAGCTCACGTTTCATTTCACAGGTCATTATTGCATTAAGAAGTAAATCGACCAAGTCCGGTAAATAACAGTCTGGGTATTGCTGAAAGCTTCAAACCAAACAATCTTACAGTTTTCACCTAATATCTCTGTCATTTTTAACCCTTACAGAGATCTGCTGCAGGCTAAACAATTATTATCTTCACCCACCCCTGGCAGGTAAGCATTATTCATTTTACCTTCTCTAGCAAGCCCCACCAGGCAACGGGTTTTGCATTGTTGTTTTGTTTATTAGGCAGCCTAGCCAACTGTGTATCTGGTGGCCTTGAAAAACAACACAACTTTTAGTGAGTGCTGCAGGCATCTTTAAACAGGCTGCTTCCTCTGCAAAATTAATTGTTGCAAAACACAGCACTTCTTCTGTGTCAAGTACTGCGCACTGACACTCAGCAGTTTGTCTTCGTTATGGATATGCCAGGGAAATTTAGGGCAATGCCATTCTTCAAGTTCACATGCAAATCCTGTAAAGTGTGAGGCTTATTCACTCTTGAGAAGGCCGACCTTGTTACTTACTTAATTTTCATCTGGGAACTATAAAGTCTAGCTGTCCTGTCGTCCATCTCTCAATGTATAAACAATTACTGTACTGTTCTTTGAACAACATCAGTCAAATATATTAATCATAAATTCCTCTGAATTCTATTTTTCACCATATTTAAAACTCATTTCTGACGCAACCTTATAAATTCAGTTTCTCTCAGAACAGATGTCTAGAATGTAAGTATTATTTCCATTCACGTGTTACAACTTTTCAGGGAGGAATTCTTTCTGCTAAATCCATTCCCTTCATTTTTCAAACATGCCTCTCACCTCTCAATTATCTCACAGTCCAAGGAATCAGAAGCTGGCTGAAAATTAGTGAACCCTGTGACAAATTAAGGGCATGCTTTTTATGTTGCTTTTTCTTCCAATGTTTTAAAAATCTTATTTTGAATTTATTATGTGCCATTAAGTGATTTTTCAACTCATAGCAACCACATAGATAGATTTTCTCCATGACAATCTTTCCCTAGCCTGTTCTTTCAGGTCCATTCTGAGTGGACAGATATAGTTTTTAATATCCGTGCAGTGCATAAAAAGGCCCTTGGAGGGTTATATACAGGCGTTCCTCGGCTTATCACCATCCGTTTAGTAACCATTTGAAGTTACAACGGCCCTGAAAAAAGTGACTTATGAGCATTTTTCATACTTGTGGGTGTTGCAGCATCCCCATGGTCACATGATCAAAATTCGGGTGCTTGGCAACTGGCAAGTATTGATGAAATTGCAGTGTCCCAGGGGGGAATGTGATCACCTTTTGCGACCTTCTGACAAGCAAAGTCAGTGGGGAAGCCAGATTCATTTAACAACTGTTCTACTAACTTAACAACTGCAGTGATTCACTCAACAACTGTGGCAAATAAGGTCGTAAAATGGAGCAAAACTCACTGAACAATTGTCTTGCTTGGCAATGCAAATTTGGGACTCAGTTGTGGTCATAGCTCAAGGTCTACTTATATGTGTGTGGGCGGGTGTTTAACAGCCTTTTCCGTGATAATGCAGTAGCATTCTGGAAAATGTTTTTAACTTTCCAGTAGGCCCCTTTGTTTATAAATTCACTTCTCCTTTGTGTATTAGAGGATGTTGCTCCTCAACACTATTCTGATTTTTTTATATTATATTATGTTGATTTAATTGGTTGGTTGGTTAGTTGGTTGATTATGACAGTAGGGAGAGGAAATCTAGTTAATATCTCTTTCCTGTTCTAACACTTCTCAAGGTGCATAAAAAACAGTCATGATAGCAGGAAAACAGTAAAAACTTCAGTTGCTTTTAGGCCAGTGGTGGGATTCAGCCAGTTTACACCGGTTCGGTAGAACTGGTAGCTAAATTTTGTTGGGTTCGGAGAACTGGCTGAATGCACACTGCTTCCGGAAATCCATTCTATGCCTCGGAGGCCTAGAGGAGGCCTCCCAGGCCTAGAATGGCCCACCAGAAGTGCGTGGATGCCACTTCTGGAAGTCCATTCTAGGCCTTGGATGCCCAGGCCTGTATCCATGCAGAGAATTGGTTGTTCAAGTATTTGAATCCCACCACTGTCTTAGCCCCACTATGGAAACCACACTAGGTATCAACTTCACAGGAAAACTAAGAATACTGTTATTGAGAAGGGCTATAATGAAATAAATGTTACCTCCTCCCCTTCTTATATTCATGTGATTATGAAGATTTCTGTCTGAGCCTCTTTGCCATACTTTCTGCCTGTTTTGGATTTAAGATTTGCTTTTTTGCCTCATTGTTCTGGTCACTGTATTTATCCTCAGTATCTCCATCAATGTCATCTTGTTTATGCTCTGCAATTATTTTATGTAGATACAGAATATGCTTTCTGTATCTACGTATACTCCGGGAATATAGCTTAATAGCTATCAGGAACAGAAATTTCCTTGCATGGTGTTATTTCCCACTATCTCAACATTTTACCAAAGAGTTATCCTATAATATACATCATAAAAATCAATGTGTCCAATTAAAGCTTGATACATAAAAATAAACCATAATATAAAAAGTTAACTGATATACCAGAAAAGAAAAATATGGCGATAAAGCATCTCATTTGTTTTCAGAATAGAACTTCCATGAATGAATGCTTTGGGATTCACCACAAAGTAGTGCAGCAGATAAAGGATATATTATAAAGCACTTCTATAAATGATGGGTCATTAAAATTAGGGAGATATGATTCTTGTCCATGGTTTGGACTTGAAAATGAGAAGCAGATTAAAAAAAAGAGAATCCCAAGATGTATAAGTACATTTAAGATAGAGGTGGATGATCAATTTCTTCTTTTAAAAAAAAGTTTTTATGACACTGATTATTAGCTCAATGTCAAATCCTTCTAAGGGCCTTTTCTCAAAGACTTCCATATATGTCCTTTTCTAGAAAACTCTTCTGAAAATTCTTAAAATGGCAAAGATGGTTGTTTTCTAATGACAAATCTAGAAGCTTATGACCTGATATGTGCATGAACATAAAGAGCAATAAACCTGCCTTTAAAGATGATAGAACCCGGTGTTTGACTTTTTGACTTGTGATTCATAATCAGGTCAACTAAAGCAGGGGGGAAGATCATGTCTGTGCAAGACAGTGAATTAATCAGCCCTCTAAGCAGCCTCTAAGACAGATCCTTAGAGAAATGCCTTTTACCCTGGAAGACATTAGATGTTTTATTTAAAGATTAAACATTTGGTTTAAAGATTAAAGTTCTCTTTGTGCTTAATCGCTTTCCAGGGCAAGATGGAAAATGAGATTAATTACAGTCCCCTGCATTAAGCTCCTATCCAGCTGAAGTAACTTTTCTGCAAAATGGCCACCATCATGAACAGCAGGCTCCAGAGATACTAATTGTAATTAAAGAGTTTATCTGGAGTCGCAGCACAGTCTTAATCAGGATGGGAACCGAGTCTCACTGCATGCACTTTCAGCACATGGCTGTATAACAAAATAGCTCTTTTGAAAAGGCAGTTTACTCTAAAAAGTCTGAGCAGGACTTGATGCCGGCGGGCCTACCATTCTCTATGGGATTCACACAAAATCTTATTAGGTCAATTGTTTAGAAAGCATCTCTCATTAAGGGATTTCAAAACACTTGTGAAAAGTGAATAAAATTACCTTGCTCTATTGAAGAATAAATGTGGACCAGGCTGCCGTTAATACATATAAAGGTTATGTTGAATTAAGTTACTTGCCCTGGAACTAGGAGAGACATATACAATTGGAAACTGTACCCCTGAGACAATGACTCTAAATTCTTTATTGTCATACTGCCATCTTTCTGGAATAATTGTCTTCAAATGGCCACAGTAGCACTGGATTCCTTCTAAGTTGCTCTCTCTTGCATATAACATCCTTCGGTATTGTTGTCTACCCATGACTGGCAACTTACCAGCATCCTGGCATGCTTGTTCCCAATCCAACTCTGATTTTTGGAAAACTGATACAGGTGAATCCAATCCTAGGGCACTGCCATCCAAATCTTTGAAAAGAGCTTTCCTTGAGTTCTCACATATTGCATTACCAGATGAGCTAGGTTCATTTACTCTGACGAGAAAGAAATAAATATGAGACTTGGGAACAGGCCAATTACTGATACACATGTCAGTTAAATAGGAGACAGCATAATAGTGGTAAAGGTAAAGGTTTTCCCTGTCCAGATGTCCAACTCTAGGGGGTGGTGCTCATCTCCATTTCTTAGCCCAGGGAGCCAGCGTTGTCCAAAGACACTTCCATGGTTATGTGGATAGCATGACTATACACAGTGGCACACAGAACACTGTGATACCTATTTATCTACTTGCATTTGCATGTTTTCGACCTGCTAGGTGGGCAGAAGCTGGGACAAGTAATGGGAGTTCACCCTGTTGTGTGACACTCAGGTCTCAAACCCGAACTGTCAGCTTTCCAGCTGACAAGCTCAGTGTCTCGTAATAGCGATAATAAAAGATAAACTCTCTAAAAAAAAGATGGTGATGCATGTATGCTCTTTTAATGTTTTACAGGTGATATTGCAGACGCTTTGCCTGAACATAAAGCAATGATTCTATCTAGTATTGATGGGAGGTAGAATGGGGAACATCTCCAGCGCACCAAACGTCTTCCTGAATCAGTATATGTATCCAGATATACACATTCTTCAGCGTTCATTTTTTGTTCAGACATAATGCAATGATGTATTTTGTTAGAAAACTGTTTAATCCATTACTTGCTGTTTATATGTACACTGAGACCTTATGCACCAGAGACAAATTCCTTGTGTCTAATCACACTTGACTTATTCTATTCTATTCTATTCTATTCTATTCTATTCTATTCTATTCTATTCTAGTGTTGGAATACCATATTAGACATTTTAACTGATTAACTGGAGCTGAAATAAGATGAAACAAGAAATAGGAGAAAGCAACTCTAAGAAAAACAGATCAGCGATAGTACTACAGATTATAAATATATCAAACATAATTATTGTGGAAATCTCAGCAAGAATGATCCAAAATGGATTACTTATAAGTGATTATAAATATACCTCGTTTGCAGTGGATGAAAGTAGAACATATTTTGTTCACTGATATGGAGCATTCTGGTCTGCTCAGATGTGATCAGATGCAAGATGCCTCCATGTCCTGGATTTGTCATGATGCAGGTGTCTTGGTCCCCAGTATAGCAACTCTTTCTAAAACCATCAAAGGTTATATCTGATAAAGGGAAAATAAAAACTCTGTAGAAAAATGGCAGCACTCGACTAATTTATATAGAGAGCCAGTTTGCTCTAGTGTTTTTAAGGCACCAGTCTAGAAAGTGGGAGACTGGGAATTCTAGTCCTGCCTTAGCTTTCTCTCTCTCTCTCTCTCTCTCTCTCTCCTCCCTCCCTCCCTCCCTCCCTCTCTCCTCTCTCTCTCTCTCTCAGCTCAGCCCACCTTTCAGTGTTGTTGTTCTGGGGAAAATAGGAGGAGGAAGGTATGTTGGATATATTCTCTTGCTTGAGTTATTTGTAAAATTGATAAAGATGGGATACAAATAAATATCTCAGGCTAAACTAAATCTTGAAGTAGCTGCATCAGTGTGTATGGTGTGTGGTATAATGTTGCTGCTTTAATTGTTGATACCGCTTTTTTGACACTTTTTAAAAAAACGTTATCTAGAAGTAGAAATTAGAGGTAAATTTTGTTTATGTTCACATAGGTTTGCAAACCTTTTTTTTCCCCCTTTTAAATAAAGGATTAATATTTTAAGATTCAGTTAAAGATCTCATTGATTCCAGGGAGAAATTTATGTCTCTGGGCTTACTGAATTGATGCTTCAATGTTCTGTCTAAAATTAATCAAAATGTCTTCATTTTTGTTTTCAGGAGGAAATCTTTAGCAAAATAAATAGTTGCGTCCATTTCCCTTCTATTTCTCAGTAGGACAGGAGAAAACCACAGTTGCTAAGCATAGTTTAGTTCAAGAATAACCAACCTAGTGTCCTCCTTTTGTTCTAAACACCAGATATCATCAGCTCCAACTGCCATGGCAAATGTCAAATAATTTGAAGACTTGTAATTCCAAAGTTCTAAAGGGAGTCCATTTCTATCCCTACTTTGACAAGATATAAACAAGGAAAAATGAATGGCATCAGGCCATGAATTTTTCCTTTCCTTCCTACCTTTCCTATATAGCCAAGAGAGGAATTATGGTTAACTACAGCAAGCAATGTCAACCTGGCCTATAATTAATTATATTTAGTTACAAATATGGATAATTTAAGCAAGCCAAATAAGTCAGTTTGCCATGATTAAACAAGCAGGTAACTTTAAAGTGAATGATTGAAAATTAACATTTTTTTCTTTTACTTTTTTTCTTCTTAATGTTTTTCCTCAAGTGCAGGGTCCATTTTTTTGGTTCAGTCAACTGTTGATCCATTGATTGGGGCAGGTATTGACTGATCTTGACACCCAAGTCTGATGTCATAGGATGGGAAGAGTGACTGGCGTAGAGTCACCCAGCCAGCTTTCATAGTCTCCTCGTTTCTAGCCTGGTGTCTTAACTAGACAAACTGGCTCTCTTAACAATATTTCATATTAATAGCAACAGCACTTAGACTTATATACCGCTTTACAGTGCTTTACAGTGCTCTTTAAGAGGTTTACATAGTCAGCATATTGCCTCCAACAATCTGGGTCATTTTACCGACCTCGGAAGGATGGAAGGCTGAATCCACCTTGAGCTGTTCAGAATTGACCTACTGGCAGAATTAGCCTGCAATACTGCATACTAACCACTGTGCCATCATGGCTCTTAAGAATCATATTAATATGTCTTGGGAAGAGTATGCAAAACCACATCCCCATTTATTCACGTTAGATTAGATTAATCTAATATGTACAAACTCCATGAATATACAATATGATCATGGATTCTCATGCTTTCTGTGAGATTGGATACACACACACACACACACACAATCACACAGAGACACACACACGCTTTCATCAGAAGCATATAGATAGATTTATTTGGGTCTTTTTTCCATTTAAATGAGTCTTTTCTTCTATAACCATTTTACAGTGAGGAACATTGTTATTACATAATTGTATGTTTTATGTGACAAGTTCTTGCTCTCCCAAGTACAACTACTCTTTCTTTTTTTTTGTTGGTGTCATTGAAAAAGGCTTAATAATGTGCTGATTATTTTAGAAAAAGTATACATATGTATCTTGAAACAGAATAAAATTGACATAAAGACGTGTATTTCGACCTAAGACTGTATTAAATTTGGATTAAGCATACAAAATCCGGATCAGCTGCATTGAAATCAGTCCATTCCTAGGAAAATATTCATAGGCTGGGCTTTGGTCAGCTACAAGCTGTAGCACCATAATAGATCTGCTTGTCTAAAGTTTTTTAATAAAATATTTGAGGCTCCTAAGAATACTTTAAATGACATTTTAACCACCAAGCACCATTTGTAGTTCCAGGGTTTATTAGTGTATTTATTATTTCAGTATTTATTAGACCACAGATGCTCTTAAAGTACTAACCTTGTAGAGTTGTGACTCCCAGAACTATTGAATGGTTTCTTATTTTATGCCATGGAGCATCAGGCCACCAGTTACAGTCCGAGGTAAAAGATGGCCATAACATGCCGATTCGGCCCCTCCAGGGATTACGTGGAGCTCGATCTGTAATTGTCTCATTGGCTGAAAGAGGCTGGATTCTGTCCTTGATGCAATCAAAGGAAGTGCTGGTTGCCATAAAGACAGAATTTCTTAGTTTCAGGTGCTGCTTTTTCTGGTGACAGTACAGCTTAGCAGATGGTCCATAAAGTACTGGCAAGAGTCCCACAACATTGTCTACCAATGTCACCTTCTCAACTACTACACTTCCTACAAGATGAAACATTATCCCATAGTCATAGTTTTTGTAAGACAAAAAGCCTGTAATTTTAGTGCAGTTTGGAAAGCCATCTCCTTTATATAAATGAACCCCATGAAGGCTTGAATGAGCTACATTGCCACTGTAAAGGTCTTCTGCTAAGAAACATTCTTGACCCTTGATATGAAAGGCTATCCGTTCTGAACCAGCCACGCTATTATTATGTAGCATAGCACCTTCTACTGTGTTTGTTTTGATGCCAGCCACCCAGAGCCTCGAGGTCCCTGGTTGTTTGCTTAAGACAACCAGATTTCTGATGAGTGTATGATTTTGGCCTTCTAAATGTATACCATGCCCAATTGTATTGAATATCACATTATCACGTAGGAAGAGCCCATTACTTGTAATGGCTTGAATACCAACTCCACAGCTGTGGTGAATGCTAGAGGAAATTATGAAAGACTCGGATGAATTTGTAATGTCAACTGATGGAGACTGTGAAGATCCAAAGTTCAAAATTTCAACATTTGAAAGTTGAAGCACACCTGCAAAATGGGAGAAGGACGTGTTTAAGAATCAGAATTTTAGTGTGTGTGTGTGAGGGGGGAGGGGGAACAAGATAACCTTCCATGCCTTAAAAAATAAAAACAATGGTAAAAGATATTCTATTGATGCCACTTTAGACATTCTTAATTCATAAATCCTTAAGCTAATACTATTCCATTTTTTTAAAAAAAGAAAGCAAATACAGTAACTAAGGGGTTACTTAATGATCCAGGTTTTATTTTCATTAATGCCTACATAACATTGCTATAGAGGATAATAGTTTTTTTTTTACTTCAAATAGCATGTTTTAAACTTAGTTGCATTTACTTTCCTCACTAATTATTACTATGTTATCACATTATTAATAAAATAAAAAATCATTTATAACTCCCACATTCAAAAGGGGTTTTGGGGTCAATTGATGGAAGGAGGCAATGCCAACCTATTTCTGAAAAACCTTGTAAAGAAAACTGCAAGGATTTGTCCAGGCAGTCTCTGAGAATTGGACATTATTGAACAGGGAAAAAAAACTTCACCCACAATAGTAGGTTTGGTGTGATAACTATCAAATGAATTCATGTTCTTTAAAAATACATGAGAAATCTAGAAAATTAAATTATGTTTTTCTAAGCTATATGGATTGAGAACAATGTGTAAAATAATTATAAATACTCAAGTACCTGCATCTTGATTTGCATAGTCCCAAGGTCTCACCAGAAGTCTTCCTATGCAATCCATGTCAGATTTAATCTGAATGTTTCTTGTCAGAAGCCCAACCTCTGCAGCCAGGAGAATCCATTGACCCTCTTCTAATCTATGGGAATATCCTACAGAGATCAAAATGACAGAAAACAATAGAAGTGGAATAATAAACCAAACATGGAATCTCTACTAATTCTTCCCTTCTGAAAACAGTTCATATACCCAGGCTATGTACAGTAGGACTTCATAATTTATTGAAGATTCAGACATTTGGAAAAAGTCATTTACTTTATTATCACTTTTAACATTATTTTCCCCTTATTTCATATAATAATCACTGATATAGAGAATAACATATCTCAAAAGTGAGGACCATAGTACCTTAGCTGTTTTGTGATCAAGCCTAAATCAGTTCCATGGCATCTCAGATTTAAAACAGGTTAAATATAAGGTCAGAGTTTATTTCACCTACCTAAAATTTTGCAAGTATTTGTAATTCTAGTAGTATGAGACAGCAGTTAAATACAGAAATAATTGAAACAATTCATTCATTGTATAAGTGCTGATTGCCCACTTAAATGTCTTAAGAAGCAATACCAGCCCTTAAACTAAGCTGAGAGGTAAAGATACAAAATGGGGATGAGATCATACTTGCTAGTCCAATATATGTTGATTATAGTGTATCTCTGCCCATGACTTATAATATCTTCCAAAATTATCCAACTATTGTGCCAGAAGAACATAATGGGAACAGATTTTATATCACTTCAGTGATGGCTGGGTTAAACTAGGCGCTACTATAATTCACTGAGGATTGGCTATATTTAGACCCCAGATGCATGTACTGTAGTCTTCCCTGCAAAATGTTGGGTAGAAGACTATACATTCATAGCCTCTGCATGTGAACTTAAAGTCAATTTGTAGTAGCTGGGTCAGGAGTCCAACTCTTGCCCTTCCAGACATAAATCTCTATTTCAGCTGATTGTCTTCATAAGGTTAACTACCTTACAGATAACTTGTAATTCCCATTTTGTTACTTAATTAAAGCAATGAAAATGTTAAGGCACCCTAGAAAGAAAATGCTATTGAATAATGGCAAGTTTATTGAGGAGAAATAATGAATGTTGGGTAGCCTTTAATGTACAAAACAAAATTCATGATACAATCTAAGCAAAGGAGACAAATTGCATACCAATATGTCTATGGAGAAGACGTTCACGGATCCTAATGCTACGATTGTTAACTTTTTCCAAAGTGATTATTTCAGCTTGATGGGCTTCATATGAAGAGGAACTGACAACAATACTGTCACCCTGATGCCAGTCCAAATGATCTTGCACCATAATCCTGTAAATCTCAAAAAAAATATTGTGAAGTTTCCATGAAATATTACTTTCTTTAAAGCATACAAACATACTATCAAGAAAAATAAAAAAATGCTTACTAAAATGCTTACATTCACTGATGAAGACAAGTTTGTAAGTGGTAGGAAGAATGTGCCTGGATCCTGTCACTTTGGATAGGAGAAAAGACATTGAAATAGAATCCTGAAAAGCTAACATTTCTACAAATGCACCAAGGTCTTCTGTCACCACCAAGAGTTACTCATGTATGGGTAAACACTACCCATCAGGGAGCATTTCTCTGACGTGGGCGTCCTTCTATTTCCTGATGGATCAGCAAGTAGAAATGTGATCAGAGAGGCATATGCCCAACTGGTGAGTATGTCAGTTCTGGCTTCATCTGGTGTCAGAGGACTTGTAGGTCTTGACAGTGCTTTTTTGTTAAAAAAAAAAAAAGGTGCTGGAACTCACACACGTCATACAACCTGCCTTGCCTACCCTACAAGATTCCATTCAAAAAAAAGTGCCAGAACTCCGTTCTGGGCGTTCTATGACAAAAACAGTAACTCATGCTCTTATCATCAGCCATCTAGACTACTGAAATGCCCTCTGCTTAAGGATGCCCTTAAAGAATATTTAGAAACTGTGGTTGGTTTAAAATACAGCAGTCTGTGTACTTTCAGGTTCCTGATGTTGGGACTGCATACCATTAGTTTTGTGGATCCTTGCAATGGTTTCCATGTCCAATTTAAGGTGCTGATTTTGACCCATAAAATTCTTTTCTTGACAAGCAGAAACTTTCTCTGGCCAACTTCTGCTCATCTCATTTAATCAAGCAGGAGAAACCTCTGCACACCCCACATTTTCAAATAATTAGTGGGGTTGAAGCAAGGAGAAATTGCTTGTTTGTTTTTACCTCCCTATGAAGATCAAGCTGGCTCCTTCTGTACTGGCTTTCTGCAAGCTCCTAAAGATGTTTTCAGAGAGCTTTTTCAGAGACCCTTTTCCTGATTTGAATTCTTGTTGCCATCTTTTATTCTCTTTCAATTCTGTAAGGTTGCTGTAGTTTTCATTTTTATATGGGTTTTGTTTTATATTGTATTTTTATGTGCGTGCCATCAAAAGTTATTTTTAATGCAGTGGCATACTAATAGGTTTAATTCAGAATCCTTTTGAAATGTTGCCAGAAAGGTCCTACCATGTCCTGAGTCTTCTGTTCAATTGACTCTTGCAAAAAAAAAAAAAAGGGGGGGGGTATAAAATAAAAATAATAAAAATAAAAAAGATTTTTCTTATTACCTATAATTTAACATCTACCTTTCATTTCCAGGTGCAACATCATTTCCAAGATGTGTCCATGACTTCTTGGTGTAAACACTGTGCATCTGCAGCTTTCCAAAAACACCTTGAAAAGAGAAGAAAGTAGCCATGATTCAAAAGTTGCTAAGCTTTGCAAGATCTTCAACATACTAGGGAGGACATCTCAGCTGTGCCAGAGATGTACCCATCGAAGCCTTTTTGTACTGGTGCAGATTGTTTGGGCACTTCATAAAGTTTCCAAGGCAGTTTCCTTAAAGATTATATTAGGAAGATTCCAACTCTAGCAAAAAGGTAAACTGGCTTTCTGGATTACTGTATAATCCATATGCTCAGCAAGGTCATACCAGTATTGGAATAGGAAAATGACAGCTTCCTTGTGGGATTAAATAGCTTGAAAAAGATAACATATTTAGAAATATAATAAAGGGGAAAAATGAAAGGATTATTAGGGGGGACTTATTTCCTATTTGAAATGAAAGCCTGTTTAGTGGCCTGTCACTTTGGTACATTGATAAGCAAACCTTTTGATGCTGAGGGTAGCAAATAGTGCAGGGACTGGATCTTATGGATATGCATATCCACAAAGTTTCCTAATCAGAAGTACCTAATTTCATGCCAGGAGCATGATCAGAATGCCTATTATAACTCTGTTTCACTCCTTTTCCTGCATGTTTATGGAGCAGAAATTTCTTATAGGAATGTAAATTAATCTGCCTTCCATGCTTCCACAGTGGTCTAAAGTCTCTTCCTAAATACACACATAGACTTCTCCCAACACATACAAATATACAACCTGCCTGTCCTCTTCCCCCATCCTGATTGTATGGAATTACTGTTTCTCAATGCATTCAATTTGTTGTGTAAGTTCATCTGAGGACGGAATGCTCTGTATGCCTTAAACACCCAACTCCTCCATTAGCTACTAACAATCTACCAAACAACTGATGGGCAGGTTGTTGTGAGATATATCCCACGTCCCACATTCAGCACAGAAGCACCAGTAGATTAGAAGGGGTACAAATATGTTGTTGGCTGCTGGAAAAATGCTTCAATGTTTTCATGTTGCTTCAGGTTATCCATTCTTGACTTTTAGCAATCAAAATGCAGGCACTATTTAACAAAACAGGCAGTCTTTGATTGATGTTAACTATAGGACATTTTTGATCAAGGTTTTTCCAGGGCCCCATTGAGGAATTCAAAAGATGCTATCCATACCAATGGTTCCTGGACCGACATTCAAACCGTTCAATCGATCACAATTTACTCTCTCAGATGCCCGAAGGAGAATGTGTACCTTTCTCCTTTCTTCTAATGGATGCTGCAGGCTGCCTAAGGAGAAATTGATGAACATTAATTAATTTGTACAATACATCTGTTTCTCCCTTTTGACATATTAAACCTTTATCCAAGATGACTTACATAAAAGTACACATACAGTACATGTAAGTAATAGCCAAATAAAATAAAAGCCAAATAAAATAAATATTAATGTTGCAGTACTCAAACATTACAAAACACATAACAAAAAGTACAACAATAATATTAACAGATATGCATGTTCTTTCTACTTCCAGCAAGCAATTAATTGTCAAAGGCCTGCCTAAGTACATGTGGTTTTCAGTGCTCATCTTACTGTTAAAATCAACTTAAATCAATGGATCCCCAGTGAAAATATTTGAGCATGTAACAGCATTAATAATATCTCAACAGTGAACTAATTTACCAAAGAAATTTCAGTGAAGCAAAAAGGTCGTGCTTTTTTTTTTTTACATACTAGAGTTAAAAAGCACTGGGTTTTACAATAATACCAAGCATTTATTCTACTGCAGGATAGAATTTATTCTACACAAAGTTCATTCAGAATCTCAGAAACCATTTTTTTTTTCATAGCAGGGACACATTTTTCCCTAGCTCTTATTTTATGGGATTTTGTCACATAGCTTTTGTCACATTCTAAATCAGATAAACCAGATCTGGCACTTGCATAACTCACCAGATTTCACTCTGTTTTTTTTTTAATTTATGCTATAAACTTTTACCATAGTTCCATCCCACAAGGTCAACTTTATCATTTTCATCCAAGAGAGCTGTAACAATTGTCATGTGACCTCAGTTATATGACAAACATTGGCACTGCTTGCTCATAACAGTGGCTGAAGCAGGGGAAAGGCAATCCTCTTTTTCCTTAACCAGAATAATCCAGATTACCAGTAAAAAGATAAACAGGGTGAGAGAAGGAAGAAAAACTGTAGAAAAGTTAATATTCCATACAACAGAGTATCCTTCTTGTCTAGTAGAAAGCAAAGACAATGGGTTGAAACTCTTTATCTTCAAAGAGAATAATCTTCCTTTTTTAAAAAAAAAAAATTCTTTCAGAGCAGATAATAATTCTTTCTTGATTACTCTGGCTGCTCTGGCACAGATATTTGTTTTGCTTAATAATTTCAGTTTCCCCAAATTTGTTTTAGAAATTCTTTTCTTTTCAGTAGGATAAGTGTGGAACAGAACTAGTTTACTAGAGAAAAGGATAGTTAATCTCAAAAATATTTGGCATTTTTTTCATAATCTTTGCATTAGTGTTCAAGTAACATTTTGGAAGAATCACATTTCTTTCAGAGACATAACATTTGAAACCTAAGTGAATTTTTCTGATGACATTGGAAATACAGGAAGACAATAAAAAGGCAAAAAAGAGAGGATGGAAATAACGGTTATCTTTTAGAATGCAAAGTGAGCTGTATTCCAACTGTGAACCTATTTATTTCACCCAGGGTAGTTTACAGACTCAGAAGAAAATAGTCTAGCATGAAGCAGATACTTGAAGGAAAAAGTAGGGCAATTTCTGCCCTAGAGAAATGTAAGCAGAGTCCAGTAAGAGAGTTCAGCACTCCTTTAAAATTAGAGATTAAATCAATTATACAGCCCCAAACTGCAGCAGATGTAGAATTAAACAAAGAAATCTGTGTAGAATTAGCCATCGTGCCACAATAATTTAATATTCAGAAAACATGCCTTTGGTGAGGAAAAGAGAAAGTGCAATATGCATGCATAAGAATTAATCTTAGCAACCCATTTAATGAAGTGTCTATGAAATTAATCTTGTTATAGATACAACTAATCCTGATTCAAAATCAGGCAAATGATTCACACAAAGAGACTTAGAAGGACCACCCTGTTCAATCTGGAGGCCAATTCAGGCATCTGGAAATAGCTTGATTTACTCCAGGCTGCTCTGGAGCTGGTGCGATCAGTCCCAGAATAATCATCATCATAATACTAAATAGCAGAACTATATTATCTCTGAAAGGAGTTTCTTGCAGCATTCAAGAAAATCTTGTCACTTTTAGGGATATGTCTTTATCTTTTATTTTATTTATTTTTTAACCAAAGACCGTAGCCAGAGCTAGGCTCTAAGGGACAGCCAGACTTCTTCAGCTCTCTGTCGATAATCTCTGTTGGGTCACCTCCTCTACATAACAGGACAGGTCCTATGCTGTTTTTCTAGAGAGGTGGAGTAGGACAATGCTTTTTGTCTCTTGACTAGCCAGGCCATAATATTTCCAAGCTCCCAGTAAACCATAATGTTTTCTATCTGATAAAAGAACTGAATGCATGATTGAACGGCTTTCCTTGATCTGGACTTATATTCCCCAATCAAGAAATAAGAGAAACTTTTCCCATCGTCTCATTACCAGTCCAAAGCATTGAAACCGAGGAAACAAATACTGATCTAATCATAAAGCTTATTTATCAATTACGAAATCCAGTCCCGCTCTTCCTTCTTCTCCTACCATCGTATTTTATGAGATTTTTTTTTAAAAAAAAGATGGAGGATATTCTTATTTAAACTGCCAGCTATAGTCTTCTCCATGTCAACAAAAACATCTGTTTTTGTCTTCTCACCAGATCATAGGAAGATTGGCTGGAAAGAAAAACTGTCAGTTTTTCTCCCCTACTCAAGGATATATGGGCTTTAAATGGAAAATATAACCCTATCCCAATTAGCACAACAAATCTTGCTAAAGAAAGCTTTGGGAATTATGGTACAAAATTAGTGATTTTTTGTTTTGTTTTGTTTTAGGAGCTGCCAAATATCTTAAAATATATTATAGCAACACTGGATTTTTTTTACATAGTTGTTGGAGAACCAGCATCTGCAGCACTAGAACAATGGCTTGAGAAATGGAATTTCATGGAATATTTTGAGTCAAAACAATTCATTACATAACAATTTGTTCCAATTATTCAGTGTTTCAGGATTCAAAATTCAGCCAGGTCCATCCTAATAGTGACATCAGCATATGTTTTATAAACAAGAAACTGTCAAATAAGTCTGCTCCTAAAGTCCAGTTTTCCATGATTTCAGAATCACGAGCACCTCAATTTGCAGATACATAGATTGTGACATTGCTTTAATAATATATTGTTTTAAAAAGTGATAATGATAGTAAACTGAAATTCAGAATATATGGAGGTTCCTTTTATGCCAATTGATTACTTCATGCCATAAAATTGTTGTTGACTCTTGGTGACCATGTTGATAGATTTTCTCTATGATGATCTGTCCCTAAGCTGCTCCTTCAGCTCTTCCAATAGTGCATTCATTACCACTGTAACTGAGTCCATCCACAAAGCTGCTTGGTGATCTTTCTCTTTCTTTCTACCTTTCCCTGTATTAGAGCCTTTTCCAGACTGCTGGGTTGTCACATAATGTGCCCGAATTATGATAATTTGAGCTTGCTGATTTGCATCTCAAGTAAGAACTCTTGGTTGATCTATTTGATGTTCCATTCATTTGTTTTCTTGACATGAGACAAGGCTATATACTCTCCCCTTAAGACATTGATGGCTTTGAATTTTGGGTGTTATGGAAGACTCCTGAGAATACCATGGATAGACAGGAAAACAAACAAATGGATCAATAAATCCACAGGCACAAATGACCAAGTTTAAATTATTTCATTTGGCTTTGAGGAGGTTGGGTCAGCTTTGAAAACAGTTGACCTTTTCATAAAATTCTTCAGGACTTTAACAAGCCTCTTTTATAAACTTAATATAGGAAAATTGTCCAGGTCATTCTCATGTTTTGTTATTTGTATATCCCTTTTAATTTGCTGTTATCAAAAATTATCTGCCCAACCTACAAAAGAAATACTACTCTTGCCTTTTACAACATGTTCACATCTTCACTTTTTAAAGGAAGATTCAGCAATGTTCCTGCATATGAAAAACTTCTTTGCCTAAGAAAAAATAATCTCGCTTGCTCTCTCTCTCACAGTCTCTCCACTTTGCTCCTGCCCGTGCTAAACAACATGGGGAGCCAGATTAATAACATCTTCCATAAGCAATTCTTGCACTAGCTGATAGGTCATCAGAATAGTAGCTAAATTCATTGCTTTTGCCATCATTATCAGACCCTCAAACTGTTAAACGGTACCTTCAATTTATCTTTTTCTAAGTGTTTGCTTAATGTAGCATTTCTCAAACTTGGCAACTTTAAGTTGTGTGGACTTCAAGTCCCAGAATTCTACGGAGTAGAAGTTCACATATCTTAAAGTTGGCAGATTTGAAAAAAAAAAAATGAGTTTCAATGAGTCTGTTGTTTTCTGGTAGGTTTGTTCTAATCTCTGAAATAAATGTGTAAATATGTATGCAGTGTGTATATATGTGTATATATACATGTATAGACACATACACAGGGAACTGAGTCATAAGCAATGTTTTTAATTTAGGATTTATCTTTTCTTCCAGATAAATGCTGTCTTCCAGATTCTAACATGTTCCATCATCACAGAGTCAATGGGAGGTGGGGGAGAGTAATACCAATATACCCATTGCCTTATTTCAACCATGGACTCAATTGTATCAGAGGTAAAACACTTGCAGTCTAGCAGTAATGCACAATTCTGATAGACCACTGCACTGCGGTATCCAGCTCTTCAGAGAGATAACAGCCAACTGGCAGTCAATGAAGCTAACTAGGGACCAAAGGGAAAATGACTAAAGAGCTATTCCCTGATCCCAGGCACTATTGGGTCATCTCCAGTATAACGGGTACTGAAGCACAGAGATTTTGTACAACTAGCAACTGTCCTCTGGTTGCTGTCGGCTTAAAGCAGAACTCGTCAAAAGACTAGTTCATTTATGAATATTGTGACTCCAGAAAAAAACAAAGAATTGAACCTGGGAGATGATCTTTCTCTGAATCTATATTCTTCTCTCCATCTGTCCTCTGGGGGGAGGAGTATTGAATGCTACTTTTAATATATCACTTCACGGGTTTTTCTCTCAGATCTTGCCTTGACTTCCCTACTGTCACTAGCCCCTAATAAAAGTTTCCTTTTGAGACAATGCCTGTTTCAAGAGTTCTGCTTTCTTGGGTGGCTTAGCTGAGGTAGTCCTTACATCCACCCTGAATGATAATTTTCAAGTCATTCAGTCCTAAAATTCTGCACCGATTCCATTAATGTGCAGCTTGCTTTTTAATCCATTGGGAAACACAGCCCCTGTTATAAACCTCTTCTGGACCCAAGCAGATTTACAAATTTTATAAAGTGAGTGTTGTCTCCATCTACTCCTGGATCTTATCTGTGAAATTCTCCAAGGCTTTTTAGTAAAACTGGGAGGTGGGGGATGGCAAAATTATCAAAATTATCTCTGAATCGAAGGAAAGGAGTGACCCCATTTTGCTAATTACCACACCTACTTTAATTCTTATACAGTAAAATTAGAAGGGACCATTTAGGCCACTGAAGTCAACCCCTGTGCAGGAATCCAAATTAAGCATCCTAGACAGATGGTTGTCCAGTCTCTGCTTGAACACATCCAATTAAGAAGAGCTCACCAAGCTTCTGGCCTGATGATTCCACTGTCAAACTGCTCTTCTTGTTAGAAGACTTTTTTAAAAAACAAAACAAAACATCAAATCAGAATCTGTAATTCCTGTAATTCCAGTCTTATCTATTATAACATGTTCTTTCTAGAAAGAGAGAGAACAGGGCTTGATCCTCTATGTGACATCTTCCCAGTTATTTGAAGAGTGGTGTTATGTTCTTCCCACCTCTTCATTTTTTTGATCCTCAAGGCCAAGCATCCTTCCCTATCTCTGTAGACTTCTTACTTTCTAGTCCTCTGATCATCTTCATTGCCCTTCTATGAACTTGTTCACTTTCTTTGAATCTTTTGAAACTATACTTTTCGGGTGGTATTTCCTTTGTTTGTACCTCTGCTGCACATTTGTAATGGTATTTGGAAATTACCTTGAAGGTCAGGAGGAAGAGCTAGACCACAGTCTGATAAACAAAACTGATTTGTGTCCAAAGAGGGAGAGGTAGCAAAAGTGTCTCAGTAGGGATTTTCTCTAGTTTTTGGAAGAGTAAAAGTGAAGGATGGCAGGGTACTTTCAGATTTGAAAGATTGATGTTGGCCTTGCAAAGAAGTCCAGACAAGAAGAACAACCAGGAGTATTAGCTCTGTCTTGGCTGTAAGATTACATTAACAGAATCTTGCAAGTCTGAAAGTACCCCAGTCATTCCTCACTTTTATTTTCCCCAAATTGAGATGATCCTTTCTGAGATGTTTGTTTCACCACCTCTCCTTTGGACTCAAATTTGGTTCATTGTCTAGGTGCAGCTTTCCCTCCTGTCCCCCAAGATCATTTCCACATACCATTACAACTTTATATCTCCTTCTGCTAAATATACATTTTTATTTTCAACCTGCTTCTTTAAACTATGAAGATAAATTTGAATTTTATTTGATGAGCTTCCGTTCCATGTCTTATCCAGATCACTAATACAAATGTTGAAGAATGATAACTTCTTGTATATTTAAATGTTAAGGACAATTTAGGTCAGTATTAGTATTATGCAAATCAAAATCAGTTCAATTTCAGAATAAAAAAGGATATGAATCCCTTTTAAGTAGTGAGCACATTTGGAATTTTAATAAAGAGTTGCAAGGGTCACCGCAAAGTAACTGATGTGTGGCCTTAGCTAATCACAAAAGGATTGTGATGGGGTAGGGACTACTAATCATAAAATATTTGAAGTTCCACATCAGGAGCTTTACTGCTCCATGCCTTAATAGTTTTATGAATGGATTACTGCAATACACTTGATGCAGAGCTATTCCTGAAGATGGTCCAGCAGCTGCCCGATTGTTAAGGAAGGTGGCTAAATCAGTTCATGTCACAGCAGTGTTTAAAATCCTGCGCTGAACTATCAAGACCAATTCAAGGTGTTGAGAAAGGATTTTCTGGGCCTAACTCAATATAGGCTCTATTGCATCCCTTATCTACTAGGGGAAAAAAATATCAGGTTTTCTGCTCAGTGTGAAACAGCCTTTGATTGCATTCCAATGAGCATTTATCTCGAATAGATTCCACTTCGACTAGAACAGACCCCTTTTGTACTACAGTATGCCCAGCATATTGCAAGAGGTTAATAAATGTTAGATAGCATGAGAATCAATTTATGATGTTATTCTACTTTCTAAATTTCATCATTTGCCTTCAGCATATATATACCATCATAGCTTTGTCATGCCTGAGGCTAATTAGACTTGTTGGTTCACTTTTTTAAAAAAAATTAAAGATACAGCATGCAGCGTCTCTTCTGGCTATTATTATTTTTCACTTACCCACTTTCAAGACACCACCAGCAGCAATCACAATACAGGCCACGCTCAGAAGATGGCTGGTGTTTGATGAGAATTTCAGTGTGCCCTGGATATAAAGACCTCGTAGGGGTGGAAGATTCATATCCACCAAGATAGTTCTGTCTTAGAAAGAAGGAAATAATGCAGAGCATTACTTTGTTTAATGTATTGTTTTTTTAAAAAAGTAGCCTCCTTTTTGCATTCTTTTATAAGATGCTAAATTGAATAATGAGACTAGGACTATTACTTAATTTATGAATCATTTAAGTGAATATTCTGCTCCCCATCAAATTAGATCTGAATGGAAAAAAGTTTATACACTACAGAAAATTAATAAGATAGGTTAAAATATTCAAACCTTCTAATAAACAATACACTTACTTAATATAGTAGATATATATTTCTTTTTTTTGCATTTATACTTTATACTATCTTGAAAACTCAAGGCAGTTTACATTTGCCTCTCTCCTCATTTTATCCCCAAAAGAACAACACTGAAATAGCTTGGGCAGAGAGAGAACAACTGGCCCCAAATCAAATGGGAACTGACAGTGGATCTCCCCAGCCAAATAATAACCTGTATAAACAACATATATTTCTCCATCCACCCATACAGCAATCAGGCACAAATTAATACTTCCCCTTGGGAACATTGAGAAGGAGATGGGAAGAGAGGAAGTTCATTTCTGGGCTGGGGGCTAAGGTTGGCAACTGGAAGGCAAGTAAGCAGGATGGAAAACTACAAGAAGGACAGGGCTACAGAGGAGGAAAAGACCCTGTTGTTGGGAAAGATTGAAGGCAAAAGGAGAAGGGGATAGCAGAAGATGAAATGGTTAGATAATGTCATCAATGCAATGAACATGAATTTGGGTAAACTCCAAGAGACAGTTAGGGATCTGGTATGCTAAGGTCCATGGGATCATGAAGAGTTAGACATGACTTAGCAACTGAGCAAGAACAAATGGAGGCGGAGAATGATGGTATGATACAGGAGCAGGGATATAGGCTAAACTAGGAAGAAATAAAAGGGAAAGAAGCAGACAATGACTTCAAAGAACAGGCATATTGGAAAAAAAGGAGTGGAGAGAATGAAGAAGTGGTATCCAAACATGGAAAGAGCAACAGCCTTTTAAAAACAAACAGGCAACCCCTGACTTTTTCCCTTTTCTCAGTTAGGGCATTCAGAATTTAAACTGGACTCTTCTAGAAATTACTAGACATATGGTAACTCTAATTAAAACTCTGTATTATAAAGGCCTGGTGTTCTGAATGTTTTGGGTTGCATCCAATACTAGCCATCTGTCAATGCAATGGCATCCATAAGAAGAATGGATTACCCTCCCTGTACACTCCCAAAAATCATTTCCAAAGGAAATATTCAGGCTGCAGAGGACAGAAGGGAGCACAAAAAGAAATCTTTACCTCAGCAGAAAATGACAGAGATATAAGTAAAAACTGAGTGTTTTTAGTGAGCTGTCAAAGTGACAAGATATAGTCCATAAAATATAATAGTATAAATTGATTAAGAATCGCTGTTAAACTATATGTTTAAAACAAATCTGAGATGTAGCATTAGTTTAGATCTAACATAAAACAAAAAGAATAAGTTTTATTACACAACAAAAGGCCAACCTTAGTGATACCAAGCAGTGATGTGAAAATAGTCATCTCTTATTAAAGAATCCAGCCATATACTCTAATGAAAAGAGAAGCATTTTCAGCACAATGTCCTTTCCCTCAGCACTCGTGGGTAAGTATTTTTATTTATCTTTATCTTAAAAATGAAAACCTGGCTTTTCAACTGGCCTTTAGCACTGAAATTTTGTGAGACCCTTCCTCCTATAAAATGGATTATAATGGACTTTTATTTATCTCTGGTACCGTGCTTTGCATTAAATTGTTATTTGCTTTAGACTCTTTAAAATCTTATTTACTCAAGTGGGAAATGTAAACTATTCAGAGAAAACCTATTCAGAGGTTTTGATTTGAGCAGCACATAAGCCTTGTAAATAAGTATATAAAACAATGGCCATCTCCAAGTTTGGTTGTGGCAGGCAGTGTTTGGCAGAAAGGTGTTTTTGACAAGAGCATTCCAATGGAAAATGAGATTTAAAACCGAAGCATTTTGTTGCTATCTTTTTACTGATTCTTATAGGGAAGAGTCAGAAGACATTTGACCCACAGTATAGATACATGAAACCAACCAAGGCAGAGAAGAGGAGCAGAGATTTAAAAACAGCGTTTATCAATACCACCCAGAAGCAAGCTATGTTCTACTAGTGTTTAACCTTTTCAGTCCCCATCTGTAATACTGAAGTGCCATTTACTGATTTTTGGAAGCTTTGTTTTAAAAATGTTCATTTACCTTTCTCAGTAGCACTACTGTTTAAATAGTGATCATGGTCTTAAAATAATACATAATATATACTTAAGATGAAGAAAAGTGGTGAATCAATAGGAACTTTCAATATGCTTTTCAGGGATTGGACACGAGTGTATGTATGTGCCAAACCAATTATTCCAGAGGGGCAAACTTTTTGTAGAAATTCTCTACAACAGAGTTCCCCAACCTTTTCAGCTTTGTGGACCAGAAGGGATGGTTCTGTGCCCGCAAGCATTCATGCAGTTCCATTTGCACCACTGGTGGGTGTGCATGCTTACCATTTGTGCAAATGGAACGTGCACGCACTCCCCCTCTGCTCACCCAAGTGGGGAAGTGCATGCTTTCGGCCGCCCCTTCCATGGCCCGGTTCTGAAAGGCTCAAGGCCTGGTAATGGGCTGCAGCCTGAAGGTTGGGGACCCCTGTTCTACAAGGTAAATTGGATTGAAAACAATTTTAGCTGCAAATTCTGGGATAGCAGAATTTATTAGAATTCTTCTCCAAAATGAGTATAAGTAAAGTATTTTTATAATTTTAAAAAGTACGTGGCAAGATATTTAATTATGTATTTAATCAAGAGGAAAAAAAGGTGATGCTCTAATTCTGATAAAGGCAAAAATCATATGAAGATAATTAATTACTACTTGTGTTGGAGACAATTCGAGATATCAAGAGGCCGTTGTCTTTCTAATGGGATGAAATAATGGGACGTTGCAAACATGATCCCTATTCCTGGGAATATAGGAGATAACCAGTGTATTTCTTTATGTAGAAACAAGGCATGGAATCTGAAAAATCTCTCTGTATTCCTCTGTATAAAGTAAAAAATCTGCGTTACGGCTGAGGAAACTATATGAGAATTCTACATGAATAGTAAAAGCACTGAGGGAAAGCTAAAGCAATCAGACATCAGTTGTCTTATTTCACGTGGAAAGGCCCAGCAGTCTGCTGCTGAAGCGATGGGATAGCCACCCTCACCAGTTATTTATAAATTCCACCCTCCTCCTGAAAAAGTATGGATATAGTCCTTCAGTTGACCTTTTCATCTGATATCTCAGCTCCTGAAATAGATGGAAAATCAAAGGGTGACATTTTTAGCCTGGCTCTAATTCTCAGACTCCAGACTAGCTGTGTCCATAGGGGCTTCTCAGCGCTGACAGGCTTTGAGGACTTTTTCCAGCTCTGTCTGGTGGCTTTATTCTTTGGCTCTGATTTTCCTGAGTCTATGCTGGTGCAGTTGCCTGCAGTTCTGACCTGACAAAACCGCAGTGGAACATCTATTCCAGAGAGTGAAAGGCAGTCATCAATTCATTGCCGCTATTCACTGCCTGAAGATGGAGTGGAGCTCTGAGGCTCTGAGTTTGCAAGGTTTTTCTTCAAGTCTCTTATCCAATCGGTTTTAAAGATGTAACAGTCACAGAGAAAAGCTAGGAAAGTATATGGAGAGTATATATGGAGATCTCAATAAATAACTGTTAACAGAAAGATAAAGAGGAAACACACACCAATATTTACATCATAGACCAGGAGATAAATTTTTATGGTTCAAGACTTGGAATGCCACCAACACCCACACATTCAAAAGATCATTATTTCAAAGGCTTTTCTAAAAAGAATTTATCTTTTCCTGCTACTAGCAACAAAGAAAAGAAACAAAGTGGAAAAGCATTAAGTCTACGTTCTCATACCATGCTAAGGACAAAATGCATGTACATCCTAGCAGAGGGAGAGAAGGTCAAGTAACTATCTTTCCATTCAGACCTACCTCCAATCTCATGACAAGTACAGTTTACATTTATAATCCAGAATTTGTGTACGTACTCAAGTGCATTTTAAAAAGACAAAACAAATGGCTGCATTATAGCAGATGGTGCTGCTAGCAACCTGTAAATAATTTTTTTCTGTCATCTCTATGGATGATGAAATGACTTTAGCAAAAGAAAAATGCATCTCATCCAGCATTCAGAAATTACATGCATCGTAATATATACCTAGTTGCTGTTGTTATTCCTATTGCAGCTAAGTCTAAAAAACCCCAGAACAAATCTAATTCAATTAATCTTTAAATAAGCATATGGAAAATTCTGCATACTCCCAACTTTGAGTCTGTAAAGAAATTCAGTGAAGGCCTTGCTAGTGAATGTTGCTTAATAAAATCAACTCCTTTAAAAAAACACACAAAGCAAAAGGATTATCTTCATGCTTTGGTAGATGAACCGTCTGTGTTTCTTCCACACTGCCTGCCACTGAACTCCAGGGATAAAAATGTTACACAACAACTCAATCTGTTTTGTAACTCAGACACCACATTATCATCAGATCAAGTTACTAGTCAAACAAACACTGGAAAACAGATGGTTCCAAACTGAATAGAAGGCTTCTTTTCACTCCTTGTGCTATAAATAAACAAAAGAAGCAGAGGTCACGTAGATTATGAATGGGGGCTCAATTGTCCTGTATTCATATATGCAGTTTGAATGACAGCAAGGTCATTGTTGGGACCTTTATCTGAGCTATCTACTGTCACTGTATTAACAAGTTTTAAATCTTGTTTAAACCTCCAAAAATTCAGGGATAGGAGAATTTGTCAGCCACTTTTTTAGGCAGTTTTCTCTTTTTCCAGTGTTATATTCATTTGATTAAATTCTATAGCTATTTCTAAGTTGTTGTTCAATTGAATGCATGTTTGTGTACATTGTTCGTAAGATTTTTGCCTAATATCTTTTGAGGATAAGATTTATATTTCCCCAATACCCAGGTAGAATGCACAAGAAATCTTATGAATTTTATTTTGCAGGTACAAAATTTGCTAACCAAGATATGTCTAAATACATCTGTATATTTGATTTCCTAATAGAGAAAATAATGAAATATGGCCGACCAAATTAATGGTGTGTATTGTGTGCTTGTGTGTATGTGTATGTGTATGTGTGTCTATGTCTATGTTTGTGTGTAACACAATTTATATTCTCTAGAATACCCTCTGCCCCTTGCAATATTACTGAAATTAGCCTGACAGGAATGTCGTAGTGATATAGTAAAATATTAATGCTAGGTAGCCTGTGTTGTACATTCTTATAATATATTTGTAGTTATTTGATTCAAACTCATGGATTTATACAGCAAGTGTTTTGGAAAAATCTTCATAGTAAAAATTAAAAGGAAACTCAACAGAACACAGATGTAAAGGAAGGGAAAGCCATCACAGAAGAACGGGTGGGAGTAAAGAGCCTATATTGTAAAATAATTGCAAAGAATGTGCTTTTAACAAAATGCACACTGTTGACAAATATTGTTAAGATGGCCAACTGTTAGACAACTGTTAGATGGCCAACTGTTAGACAAACATTTTTATAAGACACTGACTTCATTCCTAATTCTTTGTCTTATAGAACAGAGAATTTCTATTCCCTGAGTAAAATCTTAAAATACATACATTCTGATTTGTAACATTCCTTATTTCTCTAGTTTTATCCTTTTTGCATAGTGTTTTAAAGAGATAGCTAGGTAGAAAGAGATAGATAGGTAGAAAGACAGACAGACAATGGTGTGCTGAATTAATGAGTAGACCAGGTTCTAGTCTGGAAGCTGAGATGGGAAGTCAAAAATAATATATTTACCAACTCACATTGGACTAGCATAGTGATTATGCTCCATAACTTCTGATGAAGGAGCTTTCATGCTACAGTTCATTAATTTGGGCAGATAATTTTATATATAATATTCTGGCATAATGGGTAACAAAGAAATATATATACTCCAGAACAACAGAAGGCTCCTTTGTAGAATTAAGAAATGGAAAACACTTAAGGCTCTGATATACCTCTGGTTATATATGTCCATTGAGTAGGGAAATCCTCAAGAATGTGACCAAACCTGATATTCCTGAGGTCACAAAATCCTCAGATGAGCTTTTGTTAGATTTAATTCAATATCGCCTCCACCCATATGCAACAGTATTCAGAAAATACTAGTATTTATTTTAAAAGGATATCATTCTCATATCATTTGTTAATTTCTCTACACAAAAATTCAGAAATAATCCAGCAGAATCTTAATGCTCTGACATAAAACAAGCTTTCTAATGACTCAAGTAGTGACACAGAATCTCTTTGATCAGCATTCTTATTTTATAAAATGTCATAAATGCATCACCAAATGTTACACAGGCACAACGGAAGTATCATTATATGAGATGCAAAGCTTGAACGTCTTTCTCTTCAAACAGAAAAAGTTCAAAGTCAAATGAGAGACAGAAGATTCCACCACTAAAAACAATGCCAGAGGCTACGTGACATCATAAATATGCCATCTGATGCAACATAATATGGCAAGCTCTTCATTCCTTCTTCATATATTGCGTCAGGAAATTATTATATTAAGCCCCACAAAATGTGAAAACAACATGGAAAGCTTTGACTGTTGCTAGAATAAAAGCTGCCTTTATTTGTCCTTGATTTCATTCAATGTTATGAAAATAATTACAAATGTTCCCAAAGAAAGTCTCAAATACATATTAATCTACTGTACTTTCCTGTCCCTTTCTTCTGTAACAGAAATATCCCACCCTACAAATGCAGATGGCACTCAGCCAATAGCGCCAATAGTAACACATCATTCAAATGACAGATATGAATTGACTTTTTAAAGATATTTTGAAGCTATGAGCAATCAGCTACTTGTCCAAAATTGCTCTTATATATAAAACTACCCCAGTTTATATTTGGTAGGTGAAGCCCTCTTCACAGTTGCTATGATAATATACACCAAAACTGCTCTGACAATATGCACCAAAATCCAAATTAAACATGATTTTAGAAAGATATTTACTTATTACAGAAAGTAATAATACAGTAAAATCTTAATGTTAAGTAATTAGTAAAGACTGAAGCTATTACCTTATAACTAATAGTTTGATGTGAATTGTAGTAGTTCTTTTTTCTTTGTTACAGTCAACTTTGGATGAAAAGTTAATCTTAGGCTTGTAACATTGATATCCTAAATTGTAATTAATACTGATAGAATGTTTAGGATTTTTTTCTTTTCAATACTTTAAGCTTTCTAAATAATAGAATGTTAGTAATTTTAATCAGATTACATAAACATTACTGCTTGGAAACTCATATAATACATAATACAATGTATCATGAATTATATGAGTCGCTGTGGATTTTACTCCACTAGTCGTTGTCAACTATAGGGGGTGGTGCTCATCTCCATTTCTGTTTCAAAATCAGCATGATATCACAGAGCTCTGTTACCTTCCCACCAAAATGGTACTTATTTATCTGCTCGCATTTGCATGCTTTCCAACTGCTTGGTTGGCAGGACCTGGGGCGATAACGGGAACTCACCCCATCATGTGGAGCTTGAGTCTCAAACCTGGGCTGCCAGCTTTCCAGTCAACAAGCCCAGCATCTTAACCACTGAGCCACATTATAATAAAAGGGGGGATATATAGTTACCTACACTGACATGTTGAAGCTTAGAGACACTGGAGCACAAACTTAACTTAAAGGAACTAGGATTATTCCTACTTTGTTGAGGCAAAGGTAGTGGGCATGGCCAAAGGATGAAAGGAATCATTCACCAAGCATTCTATTCATTCTGTAAATGAATAATTCCCAGAAATATTATTATGTTACTTTATAAAATCAATTGGTTGCTTTATTTACAAATATATGCTTGGTGTATAAAATCAAAAAGCATACTTTACACAAGCAATGAAATTTTGTTTACTGCTTAAATTTATTTCAAAATGTTTTAAATTTTGTTAGAAATGGAATTAAAAACTAATGAACATGGAATTATATATAATCTCTATTTTCACCTGTTTTAAGAGAAGCAGGTAGGTAAAAAGTTAATGATGGAAACAGAAGAAGCCATTAAGATAAGACTGTGATAAAGCACAGGACGTTAAGTATCTTTAACAATTGCAGAAAAAAGCTAAATTTCAGAAAAGGGTAGGCTTTAAACTTTAAATACACATTTTGCCACACATCTGAAAATGGAACACTCTCATTATCAACAATGTCTACATTATTTTATAACTTTTAATAAATCCTTACATAGTGCGCTGTAGATGACTTCTGTTTTGGGAGAGACACAATTTTTTTATTTTTTATTTACTTAAGATGTTTTAGAGGGTTTTAGTCTTAGATAGTTGTTTCTGAGTCTGTTTGTACTTGTCTGAAGAATATTCAGACTGACTGTTGTGGGAGCAACACTGTTGTTGTTGAGTTGCTACTTTGGTAATGGAGCACTTGGTTAGTGTGGATTGTTTTCTGATAGACTTGTATTTCTAAATTATCATCATTTCCTCTGTAATGAGGATAACTCAGAAATAACCAACAGACTATTAAAACCACACACATCATACCAAAGCCCTCCAATACATCTTTAAAAAACTGTAATGTATATTGTGGTAAGGACTGTAATGGTCCCTATGTAGGAAAAACAGGCAGAAACTAACAGAGCACATCTGTGAACATCAACTAGCAGTCAGAAGACACAACGAAAACTCCTTAATCTCACCACACATGGACAGACTTAACCATAGTTTCAAATGGTAGACTAATCCAAGTCCATTTCCCAGAATTCCATGTTATGTACAACAGGCTAAAGACAGGGAAAATCCTCCACCAATTTCAACTCAATGTATACAAATGGTAGTCGTACTCCTTGAAAGTAAGAGTTTGTCCTGAGATACTAAATGCTATTTCTGAATTGATGCTACATATTCACAACAAAAATAGATGAAAAAAATGATTCTTTTGAAAATTCACTGTGGGGGGAAATCATCAGTCTAACATTTGTCATCTGACCTCTAAAATGCTTTCCAATTTTGAAAAGTCTGAGGCTTGTTTGAAAAATTTGCAATTTCAAGAGAAAATTCTACTGTTTTCACATGACAGTATATGATTGCCAATTATTACAAAAGAGGCAATATTTCCTCTGAGAACATGTACGTATGTAGGCACAAGCAACCTCCTTTCATTTATGTGATGTCAGAAGATATGAAAATGTGCATAGAGTTGATAAATGAGCATTTAACTTGCAGAATAAAGCAATAAAGAAATCAGAAAGTTAAAATATATTAAATTGGCTTTTTTTTTTATTTATATGTTAGATTGGTTATCTGTATCATTCGTGTGCCAAGCTCTAGTGTTTATTATTAAAATATAGTATATTAACAAAATACAATTACTTGGTAAAATGATAACATCTTCCTCAGCTGATGGTATACTTTTATTGTAGCCACCCCAGCCCTTTGTCACATCATTCCAGGATTCAGCAAGGGACCATCTGAAAATAGGAGGAGAAAAAGAAGGAACTGGACCTAAGAAAAAAGAACAAATTTATTTTTGCATGTCTGTCTGCCTGCCTGCTTGACTGTCTACTTACATACCTACCTACCTAGCTGCCTAGCTACCTACCTACCTCAGTAAGGATTTGGCAAACCTCACTAAGATGTTTGGAAACAATGTTTATGCTTCTCAAAATGGCAACTAGTAATTTATATTCCAAGTGGATATATATTTATGAATAGAGGTTCTCTGAAATTTCTACCTGTGTGATAGGATTGTTGTTCAAGATAGATTAAATGGATGCCAGGCATTAAGTAAGATATGGTGAAATCAAAATTATAGATATAGGTTTCCCCATTACTACCTTCCTAACCCTTTTTATCAACAAGAAAAAAAACAAGTAAATAAGAGAGATTATCTTAAAAGAGCAAAATATTTAGACTAGAGGTAAATGAGGCTTATATTTCAATTAACAGAGGAGTTAACAAATTAATTGCTTAATTGCAATATCATCTTCTCTTCTGAACTTCTAAAACACATTTTTATAATCTTTCCATTCATTTCTCTCTCTCTCTCTCTCTCTCTCTCTCTCTCTCTCTCTCTCTCTCTCTCTCTCTCTCTCTGTGTGTGTGTGTGTGTGTGTGTGTGTCTGTCTGTCTGTCTGTCTGTCTGTCTGTCTCTCTCTCTCTCTCTCTCTCTCTCCTTGGCTTCCTATTCACCACCCAGAAGTCCGATGGCAGTTGGAAGAAAGAAAGAAAGAAAGAAAGAAAGAAAGAAAGAAAGAAAGAAAGAAAGAAA